GAGGACGAGTAGAAAGAGGAGGAGGAGAAAGAGGAGAAGGAGGAGGAAGATAAGGGAGGACTGTGGGGTCCTTGGTGCTCTCTGAGCTTGGTGGTTTTCTTGCAAACATTTCATAACCCAACTAGGTAATATCATCAGTATTAGAAGGGGGTGGGTTTGAAAAGAGGAGGAGGAGATTACTCCATTAATTAATATCCTTCCCTAGTTGGCTAGTGGGTAGACTTGAATTCAGTAGTCCATCAGAATGAATTCGATAAGATTGATGGCTAAATTAAATTTTATCAGGTTTAGGTTTATTAGATTTATAAGTGGAGTTTACAGCTGCGGAAGATGAAATCTTTTCAATACTGACGGCAAAAACAGCCTTTTGACGTGAAAGCTTTGCGTTCAGCCTTTATCTCCCCACATTATTTCGCACCCTGTTCTCTTACCTGAGCCTTAGGCACAAGTCAAACTTAAATTCTTAATTTTAAAACTTTCGATCGCAGTGAGATGTATACCTTCCTTTGGAAAATACCTGGGAAATAATAATCCTTTGGCTGAAATTCATCCTCCTCTCGTTCAAACACTGTGTGTCGAAAGGATAAATAAATATTTGAGGCAGAGAGAATGGATCTGGAGCCGATTTGATTGGGTTTAAATTTCCAGACCAAACGGATCGAATCCCCAAAAAGTTGATTTGAATTATTGGAACGAATTGCTTGCGTTCTCATACATTTCAACCTTTGTTCAGTTCTTCAGGTCTGTAGATGGGAAATAGCATTTTCTGAATCGGGCGCAGAAATCCAACTTGGCTCAAGTTAAGCAATTGAATTGAATTAATTTTTCCAAATCTCTTGGAAGGTTTCAATTAATGTACACATAAATGACATAGTTCAGATACTTTGTATATCATTTGTTAATTGGGGGTTTTCCCCCCAAGTTGCTTACCTGCTTTATCAAACTGCAACATTGAAAAATTGACTCGCGCAACTCTGGCAGACGTGATTGAATAATTGGGCAAAGCGCAGAGGTTAGGGTTCAATTACCTCCCCTACCGGTTCGCAGATGTGAGCATGCACGCGCCTCGTCTGTGCATGCACATGAACAGTGTTGGCACATTACGTTGGGGAGGAGCCTCCCACAGCCGCCACTACTAGTTCACACGAACCAGAGAGACCCGGCTGAAACCCACCTCTGGCAGTCTAGAAGGCCTCCCTTCCAGCTCTATTCTGATTGATTGATTGATTGATTGAAATTGTTTAGGGTCTCTTGCTTGAGAAGGGGGCTGGACTAGAAGACCTCCAAGGCCCCTTCCAGCTCTATTCTGATTGATTGATTGATTGATTGAAATTGTTTAGGGTCTCTTGCTTGAGAAGGGGGCTGGACTAGAAGACCTCCAAGGCCCCTTCCAGCTCTATTCTGATTGATTGATTGATTGATTGAAATTGTTTAGGGTCTCTTGCTTGAGCAGGGGGTTGGACTAGGAGACCTCCAAGGTCCCTTCCAGTTCCATTCTTATTGATTGATTGATTGAAATTGTTTAGGGTCTCTTGCTTGAGCAGGGGGTTGGACTAGAAGACCTCCAAGGTCCTTTCTCACTGTCTGTAAAGTATTTATATATAAATA